GCCAGAAAGTCGTGTATGCCTAAGGTTGAAAATAAATTATGTTTATAGTGAATGCCGCATGAATGGTCTTATTTTTACGATTTCGTTTTAATCCAAATGATGCGTGTGCTAAGTGAGTGAACATCAAAGATCACCCAACAGAAGTGCGTGCGCTCTCTCTCTCTCTCTCTACCATTAAGTAACTTGTGCATTGTTTTACTTACTTGTTTTTGACATATCCGACCAAACTACAAACTTTCCAGTGATGTCTGTGAGAAAGGTATATTCACTCGACAAGCTCGCGCATCTGCGCCGCCGCACGCTCAATCCACTCAGCTTGCTTTATTTATCAGCTCGCGCACATCAGCTATACAGGCGTAAATACTGAATGTTTAACGTTATATTCATTGCATACATATACTTCGTAGTAGACATCCTTAACTCCATTCTGCTGTCTGTTGTCGGTGTTTCTTTGTCTGAATATGGCGCTTATCACATGCTGTGTGGTATCGCGTTTGGTATCGGGGCATTTTAACGAGTACGAGTACGAGTACAGGAGCTCAGTATCGGGCCCGATACCAGGTGCATCCCTAATCAAAATGTAATAAATACTTTATATTTCTAAAGTTGCTTATGAGTATTTAATTGATTTGAATTTTATGTGAAATCCTATTTTCAGTGTTTGTTATTATGTTTCTATTTTACCTTGTGAACTTATTTACATTGATATTTTGTGAAATTGTATCTTTTATTGATCTATTTTATCCTGTGAAACACTTTGAGCTGCAATTCATGTAAGAAAAGTGCTATACAAATAAATGTTTATTAGTAGTAGTATTATTGTTATTATTACTCTAAAATAACACTGATGTAAATCTATGACCGTACAACAGTTGAATTTTATAATAATCTACATAGCTTCATTAGTGAACAGAACAATAATGTAGCGTTCAGAAAAAGTTCTTAATTGGCATTAGTCATTTGTAAAACTATGTACTAAACTCTAGTGAGCTGCCTACCTAGACAGCATTTTTAGGCATCATAGGCTCTCCTAATGTGGACATGACTTTTTTTTATATATATATACCTCATTTTGAGTATTTCAAATCAGACGTTTATGAGGTTTTGTTTAAGTGAATCTGTGCTGTACTGCTCAGTGTGTGTGATCTGACCCTTGTTGTAGTCCAGCAGTCGCGTCAGGAGCGTTTCTCTCTCGGGCTGCAGTTCTTTGCTGATTGTGGGTCGTTTGATCAGTTCTCTGTGTTTCTGAAACACCTGCAGCAGCTGAAACGAAGACAAGACAACAACAGTGTACAGCTGTGCGTGCATCTGTATGTCTGAGAGTTCATTCCAAATCTGCTCTCAGTCACAAACATCAAGCACACAGACAGTCTGATGCACACTGCATGTCAAAACTGAAAGAGCATTTGCAAAGTGGCATGCTTAAATCTAATTGGAAGATTTATGCAATGCATGCAATTACGCAAATTCATGAGTCAAAATGCATGCGTTTATAACAGTCTGCTGGGAAAACAACTGAATATTTATGTGCATTTATTAATAGCCTACCATTCACAATATTGGGGTCAGTAAGATTTATGTTTTTGAAAGAGTTACTTATGCTCACCATTTATTTGAACAAAAATACAGTAAAAACCTGTAATATTGTGAAATATTATTACAATTTAAAATAACTGTTTTCTTTGTGATTATATTGTAAAATGTAATTTATTTCTGTGATGCGCAGCTGTATTTTCAGCATCATTACTCCAGTCTTCAGTGTCACATGATCTTCAGAAATCATTCTAATATGCTGATTTGCTGCTCAAGAAACATTTCTGATTATTATCAATGTTGAAAACAGTGGAAACTGTGATTCATTTTATTTTTCAGGATTCTTTGATGAATAGAAAATTCAAAAGAACAGTTTTTTTTAAATATAAAAATTTCATTAGATTATAAACGGTTTTACTGTCTCTTTTGATCAATTTAAAGCATCTTTGAAGAATAAAAGTATTAATTTCCTTAAAAATCATACTGTCCCCAAACTTTTGAATGGTAGTATATATCCATGTTTTGTCTGTATTTTTTGTTTATTTTGTCTATTTTTGTTGTATTAGGTCTCTTCCTGTCTAAGTGGGCGGCTCTTGGCTAGAATAAGCTGTGATTTGGACAAAAAGCCAAACATCTGGATACACAAGACTAGTGTGATTGTGTGTACCTGCTGTGGACTGTCCTGTGCATCTATTATGAAGGTCTTGAGCTTTCCAGCTGCTTCCTGTTCTGCTGGAGCGATGAGTCGATCAAACTGAGACACTGCAGCTCTCCATAAGGGCTGAAGACACATACACAGTGACAGGCTGAGTGATATATCAAATATTCAATATAACAGTGAAGATCTTGTGCATTCGTGTACCTCAGTATAAGGGTTGTAGTGTATCGGGTTGAGCCCTGTGAAAGGCTGATACACACGTGTGGGTGAAACCTGCAGCTTCCCTCCAGATAACAAACGCTGCAGTTTCTCACACACTGATCGCACCTGCACCACCTGAAACACACACACACTACAGGTCATGAGGTAATGCACTAGATTATACTGCCTGAGATGATTGACAGGCATCAGTCTGACCTCCTCCAATCGTTGGGCAAGGCTCTGCAGCCCCTGTGGGCAGTGCTTCTCTCCGCTCCACGGATGAGGTGAGTAGCGTTTCCACACCTGACCGGTCAGGTGTTCACAGGCCGCCACCCACTGTTCACAGGCAGCCACACCCCCTTTAAGCCCCTCCCTGACTGTGAAATATGGATCATCCCACAAGCGCAGGGTGCTCAGCTTCCTCTGTACAAACCTGCCGAGAGCTCCGTCTGTAAACGCAAATACATCAGGAACGTCATTAGTGTTTCATCAGATATATTATTGAGTCGAGCATCATTATCACTTAGCAACCATATCTGATCTGTGCACCTATGACATCCATGAGTCGGATCATGCGTATCTCGGGGTAGAGGGCATGCTCATTCTGTTTCCACACGTCATCTACTGTCTCACGGGTGCTCTCAATCAGGTCCAGTACCTCCACCAGACTGAAACTGTCCAGATTACTGTAGTCCTGAAACAAACACACCATGCACAGTTGATGTGGATATCTTGTAGGGTTACTTGTTCCTGGTTTTTAAGTCTGATATTAAATGTTTTCTCATAAAACAGCTTAGACGGATTGGATCTGATTTAAAGTTGATGTAAATAGCCAGTTCATGGACACCTGTGTTGTTATTGTCAACTAAAACTCAAAACTATTTAAAATGAACAAAAATAATTGAAATCAAATCAAATATAAATATTAGCTGAAAACTTAAACTCGGGAAAAAAAAAACTTACATTAGATCTAGAAATGTTGCCTTGGCAAATAATTGTAACAAAAATAAGTTGAAGTTATTAATCAAAAATAAAGCTAAATAGAAATATTGAAGTCATAAAAATGACAAAAGCACATATCATAACTATCTAACTGAAATAAAATGAGTTTAAGTTGAAATGTTAGAAGTACTAAAACTGAAATAAATCTAAATTAATCTAAATAGAAATATTCAATTAATGAATAAAAATGAAAATTATTAAAAATGATTTGTACATAACTATTTTGTTATGTACAAAAGCACATAACAAAATTACTTTCAAAAACTTACATTAAAACTGTTACCTTGGAAACTAACATAAAATAAGTTGAAGTTGAAGTACTATAATCACTAAAACTGAAATAAAAAAAATTAAAACTAAATAGAAATATAAAAAAACTAATAAAAATGACAAAAAAACACAACATAATTACTTAACCTAACAACAATAAGCTTAAGCTGAAGTACTAAAAGCACTAAAAATTAAGTAAATATAAATTAAAGCTGAATAGGAATATTAAAAAAACAAAAATAATAAAAATGACAAAAGCACATAACAAAATTACTTTAAACTAAAATTAAATATGATAACTTGGCAACTAACAGAAATAAAAAGTTGAAGAACTAAAATTAAATTGAAAAACTGAAATTTAGCTAAATAGCTAGCTAAACAGAAATAAAAAAAAATAAAAAAAGCATCTAACAAAATTACTAAAACATCAACTAAAATGAAAATGAAAACTGAAAAGATAAAGAAGAAAATGTAATTCAAAATATTAATAAAAAATATAATAGAATATCAATAATACTAAAATAACACTGGTTCATGCACACTAACAAATGGAGTAACTTTGAACGACTACATGTTAGACGGAGCGCATTCACGTCCAAATGTGCATGTATGCACCTTCTCAATGGTGGTGAAGAGTTCAGAGAAGTGTGCCGCTCTGTCTCTCTCTCTGCTATGCTGTCCGGAGCGACTGACATCAGCCCAGAAGCCGAACTCATCCAGAGGGGTCATGATACCTGCACACACCAGTATGTGGAGTCTAAATGCATAAAGGTACTAGCTGGGAAAAGCAGGGGTTTGAATGAGAACTCACTCAACACATCCGTCTCCGAATGACTCCGTTCCCCAGAATCCTTTGGGTGTGAGTGTCTGAGCACAGAGCCCAGCCCGACCTCAAGATCCGTGAGCAGAGACTGAAGCTTTGAGTCGAACGACTGACTCCATTTATCATCCTGCAGAAAACACACACAACACGCATTACAAACCCAACAGCAAATTCACATCCACGTGAAACGCGTCCCATGTGTCTGCACCTGACCTGCAGCAGGACGGGGCCGTAGACCTGTCTCAAGGCCTGGTACAGGGTGCTGATGGGAGACTCCAGCATAGAGGACACCAGGACGGATCGGTGCAGGTTCTCCTCGCTCACCACACACGGATGAGGTTTGAAGAACAGCAGAACCCTGCTGTCGACGTCCATGTTCTCCAGCTACACAGAGACAACATGAGCCATAATTCAGCATTTTCTGACAATGTTTGGTAGTTGAACGCAGAGCTGAGCGATATACTGAACATTTGCGATTTATTGAATATTATTTCAATATTGCAATATACAATTATGCTAATTATCATGAATACTGTAGTGATTTTAATGCACTTTTTATTTTGACCATTAAGTTTGCTGAAGATTGTGGCTCTGAAATAAATCAGCACGCTACATGAAAATGAATCACTGAATTAGTTTTTGATTAATTTGATTTAATTTATGCCAGTTAATCAGTTCAACGTGCTAGGTAAATAAAGATTCATTTTCATCCTCACTCAAAAAGTGCTCACTGAAGCGTGCATTAAAAATTGTTTTAATTTATCGTTTTACGCATTAATTTTTTCATCTATTAAAAAAATTTATAAATAAATTTTTCGATATCATTTTCCGATGTGCGATGCAAGTATAAGATATTTAATCATCATACAGTGTAGATAGATAAAATATAAAACTAAAATAAAAATAAGTGAAAGCTAAATAAAATTATTGGAAAACAAGTCATAAAAATGACAAAAGCACATAAAAAATTACTAAAACTTAAACTAAAGTTAAAATATAATATATATAAAATATAATATAAAAATATAAATTATAATATAAAAATAAAAATATATATAAAATAAAAAATGTATAAATAAATTTTTCATGTAATAAAATTATCATGTAGTAAAAATACATGTAGATAAATATTGCTATATATATATTGGTGCAAATATCTAATTGCTTAAAAATAATTCTTTCTTGTGTGAAAACTGTGGGAAAAATGATGCTTTGATGAAGGGTTGTGCCGATGTAAGATATTTAATCATCATACAGTATAGCTAGATCAAATATAAAACTAAAATAAAAATAAGTGAAAGCTTAATAAAAATATTAAAAAACAAGTCATAAAAATGACAAAAGCCCATAAAAAATTATTAAAACAAACTCAAATTAAAATATAATATATATAAAATATAATATAAAAATATGAATTATAATATTTAAAAAAATATATATATATAAGATAAAAAATAAAAAATATAAAAATAAAAGCTAATTCAAAATATTATTGAATACCATAAGACAGTGTTTCCTAACCGGGGTGCCGTCTGTTGAGAGCAGGGGTGCCGTGTAAAAAATACTTTTTAAATATTTTTAAATTGCCAAAATGTTCAAAAAAGCATCTATTACATAATATCCATTTCTGATGTCGGAAAAAAGGATAATTAGAGATGCACCGAAATTTCGGCTGCCGAAAAAAAATGAGTTCACCGCTCAGGTTTCACTTTCACGTGGAGTGACGCTCTGCGTATTATCCGCTCTATGTGTGTGTGCTCCGCTCAGTCGCTCCACTCATATACCATTCATGCTCATCAGAACAGCAAAGTCTACTCACAAATTGAGCCGACAGGACACATGGATGTAGTACAGTACTGTTTCTGTCTGCAATAGCCCTACTGTGTTGTAACATGGTGTGGTATATGGGCAACTCTGGTAACGCTGCCCTCTCATTCATTGATCCGCTAACCGCTATGTTATGCTCAGGTGTCCTCTGATAATAATAGCTTTCTAGGACTAAACATTATTTGGATAATTGGTAAAAAAAAATTAAAATCTCTTAATAGCCCTACTGTGTGTTAGACCTACCCGAAAAACTAAAAAACAATTTATTTAATTCGAAGGCCTGTCGTTATTTTTTATTTGTGCTATCATTATTAATTTCTTTATTTGTTCTTATTTTATTACTGACTGCTTACTTGTCATTTTTTATTCAATTCAAAGTTTGAAATCAAGCTATCTCGTGCTACTGCAACAAAATTACCCCGCTGTAAAACAATAAAAACGCTGAGTGAGCAAAAATGTGTGAGATAGCTAGTTATAATGGTAATTAAATAATGTTTACATATGTATAAAAACCTACATTCAAATCTGTCATATAAATTGGTCTCTTCATTAGAAATTAGCCTGCGGATTGCCACCGTTGATGGACAACACTTTTTAATAATATTAAAAATATCTGTATGACATTCTGCAGTTCTTCCCTGTTCTACCGAATATCTATACTTTTCATATTATCACATCGAAGTTAGAAATTCAAATATTGTGACAATTAATTTTGTAGGGTGCCACAAGATTGTTAAAATTTCCAAAGGGTGCCGCGACTAAAGAAAGGTTGGGAAACACTGCCATAAGAAGTATATAAATAATACTAAAATAACACTGGTTCATGCACACTGTCAAATGGAGTATTTCTGAAAGAAAGAAACAAAATACATCAAAAAAACATTTCAATCAAGTCATTTAGCAGCAAACTATTTTTCATTTGTTGTGTGACTTACACGTGAAAAATACTGCGATATAAGTATATATCACAGCTGTATGTAGCTCACAGCACCTTGTTTGAGAAGTGCAGCTCATCTGCGTTTCTGGTGACGGTGAGCAGGGATTCGTTGCTATCGTCTAAGAAGTTATCGAGAGGACGGCAGGTGGACAGAGACGCCGGGGTGTCCAGACGGAAGTAGTTTCCCGCCGTGGTCAGGATGAAGAGTTTACGAGGGTCGTCTGTCCCGGGCGGCATCTTTCACCTGTTTGAATATCACATGCATCAGCTACAGAGATCCCAACCGAGGAAAAACAGGACATAGAAAACAGCTACTGAAGAAATCATACAGTCAGCTTCCATATTTTCTCCCAATAAAAATGATAAATCTACATAACAAAACTGCTGTTTATGATTGCATTCAAATTATAATACCTTTCACTGCATGCACAGACAGACAGACAGGTAAATATCAATTACAGGCCTGTGACATTTTAGGCCCAATTTCAATCCAACTTCAAATCGGATTTTATTTATTTTACAATTTAACACAAAACGTCACAATGCAAAAGCTCAATGGGTGTTAAAAATAAGCATCGACATTTTATGCAAACTGTTTAATTTCTAGTTTTCAGTTTTATGAGCTGAAAAGGTCCAGTTTAGAGATTTCTTTGTGCATTTAGAGCTATTTTTATCGGTTTAATAAATTAAAACATAACGAAACCTGGCATCTGGACCAAAGATTACTAAAGTTTAACACACAGCTAACGTTGTTGCCACACAAACATACACACTGCACAAATACAACGCATTAAGTACATAATGAGGACAATAAATGAAGAGAAAGAGCGTCTTACGGAGTATTGAAATCAACGCCCGACAGATTGTGACAGTTTGATGAAGGATTAGCGCGCTAGGCTAAGCTAACCAACATCTCTCAGTCTCACATGAAGGGAATTTACTCCTGAAAAAAATAAAACAAGCGCTTCTGTTACACGGAACGCAGTCGGTTGTGAAGAACGCGCTTTGCGTGCGATTTTAAACGCATCGTCGATATCAAATCCGTATCATTTGTCGGCTGGATGTGCAAGAGCCGCTTGAGAGAATGTTGTTGTGGCGCACGAGCAGAGAAGCTGGCGCGGTTGCTGGGGCAACTACGAAGTGTGTTTCTGCACAGCTGCAGGGCTCATAACCTCCGGTCTGAGCGCACACAGGAATTAAGACCCCAGGAAAGAGCCAAATGGACGTAAACTAAAGCACACTCACCCCACCGGGGAAAACACACACACACACACTTTCAACACCACACATTCCACGGATCCGGACAAGCGCGGTGGAGGAGTTGGCTGACAGGCTGGGAGTTTTTAACGCGGTAGAGAGAGAGAGAGAGAGATGTGGGAAATGTCAGCCGTGATGAAATGTTACTGTTCCTCCGAGTTAGTGGCCGCAGGGGTTCTGAACACACTCCAAAACACACACACTACACAACCACAGCTAAGCGACAGTCTACCAACAAGCTCAACCCACTTTATAAATGTGTTTCCAGGAATAAGACTCACTGCTAATAATAAGAGAACATGCAGATAATAATTGTTAAGACAAAATAGCTTGAGAAAAAGTATTGTAATGGTATCAAAATTATTTTAATGTACTAAATTATTACCAGTACCATTATACTTCTAGGAATACACTGGTTCTACTGTGGTACTGTACATGTCCAAAAAAAAACATGGAATTGCCATTGTATCATGTCAAAAGATGGCATTACCACAGTAGTTTTTGGTACTTTTTTTGTTAGAAAACAATGACCTAATATATATATTTAAAAACCTTTAGAATTACATAGGGAGGCTTATGAATATGTATTAAACTCACCAAAATACATACAAAAAAATAAAGGCAAATCTAATCTGATAGAAAATACATCAGCAAAGATTTAAAAAAAAAAAACTGAAGTGGTGCTGCCAGACAATGGAAACTGTTGTTGAACTGAACAGAGACTCATTAAAGTAGCAGCAGGTGGCGCTGTTGCATTACATGGCAGTTAGGAAGTCAATATTCACTGTATGTACTGATCATACTGATCTTAACCTGAGTGTTTCTTGTTAAGTAAAACTTGTTTTCATTCAACTGGCTATAAAATATATATTAGATGAACAACTTAACAAAACTTTAATGAAAATTAGAAATATTTCCTTGGCAGCTAAAATAAGTTTTAAGTACTAAAATTACTAAAACAATTCAACTAAAGATAAAAATGGAAAAATAATAATAACAGAAATGAAAAAAAGCACGTAAAATTAGTCAAACTAAAATTAAAATGAAATCTGAAGATATAAAATAAAAGTTGATTTTAAATAACAAGACAGAACTAAAAAGATTAAACTACAACACAAACATAATCAAGGCTGTAAATCAGGATTACATTTAAACTGAAATCTCATTAAAGAAAAGTGTCATTTTCAGTTTGTAGAAATATGAAAATATTGTGTGTACTGTAAAATGGTTACAATGGCTAAAAAAATGGCTAAAAATGTGCTCACCCTCAGGTCATCCAAGATTAGGATGAGTTTGTTTCTTCATCAGATCTGGAGAAATGTAGCATTGCATCAGTGTCTCAGCAGTGGATGCTCTGCAGTGAATGGGTGCCGTCAGAATGAGAGTCCAAACAGCTGATAAAAACATCACAATAATCCACACCACTCCAGTCCATCAGTTAACATCTGGAGAAGACAAAAGCTGAAACAAATCCAGCATTAAGACCTTTTTAACTAAAATCTGAGTCCATAATCTATAATAACGCTTCCTCCGGTGTAAAAGTGGTCTGGTGTGAATCAGGAGAGAAATCTGCACAGATCAAGCAGCGTTTACAAGCCAAAACAGCTCTAAACAAATATGTGGCTGGATTCTGACGTGAGAGACAACAGGAGATGAACTTTTTTACTGGAGGAAGCGTTATTATGGACTCATATTTTAGATGGAAGCAATGGTATGAAAATATCTTGATTTGTTTCAGCTTTTGTCTTCTCCAGATGTGAACTGATGGACTGGAGTGCTGTGGATTACTTGTGGATTATTGTGATGTTTTTATCAGATGTTTGGACTCTCATTCTGACGGCACCCATTCACTGCAGAGGATCCGTTGGTGAACAAGTGATGAAATGCTACATTTCTCCAAACCTGATGAAGAAACAAACTCATCTTAATCTTGGATGACCTGAGGGTGAGCACATTTTCAGCAATTTTTTTTTGGGGAGGGTGAACTACTAATTTATGTCTCTTCATTCAAAGCAGTCTGTGGACAGCAAAAAGTTGTTGTGAATCCAAACGTGAAGAGCAGAGAACAGTGTGCTCTTTGTTAGTTTGTATAGTCTCTCTGGTAATGAGTGTTTACAGCTTGTTTCATATTTCTGTAACAGACTATAAATGCCAACACAAAACTCCTCAAAGTTCAACTAAACGCTCGTTTTCCTCGGAGCAGCTTTTACCTGCCAACATATTTTTATACTTTCTCAGCATTTAAACATGTTTGGATCAATCAAACCAGATGAAGGTGTCCGATTCTAGCCAGGCTAAACACGACGTCTGTGAGTGATGGATGCTGGTGTGTGTTTGAGTGTAAGATCAGCCTTGTGTTTGCGATATCTGACTGAGATCAGAGCTGTGTGTGTTTCATAGAGCTTAATGTTTAAATAAACTCACACACAGGCTGTAATTCACTGTGTATCATCGCTTGTAATGTGGAGCCTCCCCTCCCGCTCTATTACACATCACATTTTTCCCTCTCCCTCCCCCCTTCATTAATCCCACTGTCATCCGTGTGTTCTTTCACTGTTTACATTAAACAGGACATTCACACCAGACCTGGGAGACGCTGGAGGAATTTAACCCTTCACACACACACCTTTACACACATCATTACCACAAACCTTTGCGCACACACACATAGTGGAAAAAAAGTGAAGTGAAAGGGATGTGTAGCCAAGTATGGTGTCCCATACTTGGAATTTGTGCTCTGCATTTAACCCATCCAAGTGCACACACACAGCAGTGAGTCGTGAACACACACACACACACCTGGAACAGTAGGCAGCTATCTTTGCTGCGGCGCCCTGAGACTTGAAGACTGGAGTAATGATGCTGAAAATTCAGATTTGATCACAGGAATAAATTACAGTTTACAATATATTCACATGGAAGACAGCCATTTAAAATCGCAATATTATTTCATAATTTTACAGATTTTTCTGTATTTTTAATCAAATGAATGCAGCCTTGGTGAGCAGAAGAGACTTCTTTCAAAAACTTGAAAAAATCCTATACAGACCTTTTGAATGACAGTGTATATTTTGACAAAAGATTATGAAGACAACATTGTTTTTGTTTTTTTATATTTGAGATAAAAGAATGACCAGTTTATGATAATTAAAATTATTGTATTTCATAATGATAATTAAATGTGCACAATAAAAATGCATAATGCACATAATGAGATATTAAAGATATCTGACTTGTGATTTTTCTTTCCTATGGATGACCTAATAAGAGACGATCTTCATATCATAAACACTCAAAGGTCTAAACTAATTAATTATTCAAATTTTATAATAAAATTAGTAATAGAATTACTTTATTAAGTAATTATTTAATAAATACAGAATGTATTCTGTAAAAGAGTTCTTTGAAAAAATCCTATACAGACCTTTTGAATGACAGTGTATATTTTGACAAAAGATTATGAAGACAACATTGTTTTAGTTTTTTTATATTTGAGATAAAAGAATGACCAGTTCACAATGACAACATGAATGTGCATTAAGAAAGTTAAATTGTGGTTTTATGTTGACTACAATGCACTGAAAAAAGTTTAATAGGCTACAATTTACTTTGAAACAATATTCACTCAAGAAATTGCTAATAAGTACACTGTAAAAAAAAAATCCGTAAAATGTACGGTAAAAAACGGCAGCTGTGGTTGCCGGAATTTTACTGTAAAAAATATGGTAGCAACATTTTAGGTTTTACGGTTTTAACTTAAATTTACAGTGAAATACCATAATTTCATGAACTGACATAATGATACTATACCAACCTATTGAAATACTGAAATCTGTTTTGTAGCTTTGTAATACAATCTAATAAACACTCATTTAACAACATTAGGTGTAACACACAACCCTAATATACAAAACTGATAAGAAAAAACTAAGAAGAAACATAGTTATTTCAACAAAAAAACATCAAAAAAAATTTTTCACTTCCAAAAACGGTATACTACCGTAAAATTAATGTCCAATACATGTAATGTCCAATACAGTTTTTCACCGTATATGGTAGGGGAATTTACCGTTAACCATTTAACAGGTTTTTACTGTAGCATTTTTACAGTATTTTACCGTTAAATTCACGGTAATTTTTTACAGTGTAACATGAAAAACATACTCCAATAATCTTAATTTTATTTATTTATGTTTTATTTTTTTTGTAAAAATCATTTTTACAGTGTGGGAGGAGCTTGCCTCCTGATTCCGTCAATCACAATGCAATGAATGCTTACCTCATTCATCTGGAATTCCTCCACTTAATTTCTAGTATTTTCTATTCTATATTCTGAGTTTTATATATTCAGTTTTAATTGTGTAATTTAGCTTTATCCAAATGATTGCTGATGAAGGATAGTGATAATGATAACACAGGCCTCAGTGACAAAACTACATTTCCCATCATCCTCTGCGGCAGCACAGCAATGACAGAATAACATAAATCATCAATTACTCCCCTAACGCACCTCATTTACTGGTCATTTTGTTGTATTAGTGCTAAAAAAGTGCCCTGTCTTTGTCTGAAATGCAAAAAGTGATTATACACATATGAAACTGACCAATAAATCCATTTGATCCCAGTCAACGGAAGACTTGAAGTCAGCAACAGCTTGAAAAACACTGAGAAATATGTGTGTATTTGGTGTCATGATTAGGGTCTGAGATCAGCAGCTAAAGCTGACAGCTGTCCTCTCTCTGGGTTTCATCGTTGTGCATGTGTGACCGTCTTTAAATGTGTGCGTATTAATAGACGTGCTTAAGACTCGACCTTTCCCTTGAGAACGCA